TCATCTTCTTGGGAGTGACAGAGTTTTACCTTCTAGCCGCCATGTCCTATGACCGCTATGTGGCTATATGCAAACCTTTGCATTACACGACCATCATGAGCCATAGAGTATGTATTTTGCTTGTATTTAGCTCTTGGGTTGCAGGATTCCTGATCATCTTTCCACCAATACTCCTGCTGTTGGAGCTGGATTTCTGTGCCTCCAACATAATTGATCATTTTATCTGTGATGCTTCCCCAATTCTACAGCTTTCTTGCACAAACACTCGCTTTCTAGAACTCATGGCATTCTTTTTAGCAGTTGTTACACTCATGGTCACCTTGACACTAGTTATTCTCTCCTACACATACATTATCCGAACAATTCTGAGAATTCCTTCCACAAGTCAAAGGAAAAAAGCCTTTTCTACTTGTTCCTCCCACATGATCGTTGTCTCCCTTTCTTATGGCAGCTGCATTTTTATGTACATTAAGCCTTCTGCAAGGGAAAGAGTGACATTAAGCAAAGAAATAGCTGTACTCCATACTTCAGTGGCGCCCCTCTTGAATCCCTTCATATATACACTAAGGAATCAGCAAGTGAAACAAGCCTTCAAGAACATGTTACAGAGGATGGCCTTTTCTTCAAATAAATGAATATGCTTATATTAAAAAAAATGTATTCTTGGAAGCAAAACTGAATGAAAAATTCTCTGCTCTTCTCTACATAAATTCTCCATTTTACTCCATCAAGTAGACACACTTATATATAATGACTCTGTCTTTTAAAATTAACCTAAAAACCAGATCTTAACTACATTTTTTTAATATGCAAAATGAATGCTATCTTATCTATGTCACTAAATTTTAATTAAATTAAAAATCTTAACTATTTTCATATCAAGGCAAGTTAGATTATGAATTCCATATCAAAAATATATGTTGTTATAAATTAAGAAGGTTGCTGTTAAAAACATGTGCAAAAATACAATTTATTATATAAAGTATCTTAATATTTCTAAAATTGTTTTTTTCAGTGTCACCAAGAGCAACATGTTGTAAACTTGAAATTTCTACTTGAATGTATCAGTAAAATGTAGCTAAACTGTGTGACAACATTAAATTGATATTTAGGACAAATTTTTTTCTGAAATAATTTATTTTTTATTTGAAATAAGGTTGTATTGACTTTGTATTCATTACCTCAAAAATTAAGCAAAGTTTCAATGCAAGAAGAGGTGACTCTTCCAGACCTCCCTCCTTAAACACTAGAAAAACTAGTAGAAACTAGTAAAAAAAATAATAAAATAAGAAAACTCAGTTTTCTTTCCTCATGAAATTTAAAGATACCAAAATATAATATATCTTTCTATTCTTCATAATTTTGTTAAATTTTCTTCCAAAGTTTTGATTTTTCTGTCTATCAACCTGAAAGGACTATATGCTACATAAAACCCAAACCAAATCCAATGTCATTGGGTCAATTCTGACTCATGGAGACCCTATGTGTTACAGAGTGGAACTTCTCTGTGGGGTTTTCTTGGCTGCAATCACAATGAAAGCAGAGTACCAGGCTTTTCTTCTGCTGTGCAATTGTGTGGGGTCAATGACAAACCATTAGGTCAAGTACAAACCTTTCGCACCACCCAGGAACCTTATATAATACATTTAAAAAAAAAATAAAAACCATTGCTGTCCATTCGATTATGACTCATAGTTAACCTATAGAGTTAAAACTGCTCCATATGGTTTCCTAGGCTGTGATCTCTACCCAAACAGATCACCACATCTTTCTCCCATGGAACAGCTGGTGGATTCAAACCAACAACTTTCGGTTAGCAGCCAAGTACTTAACCACTGTGCCACTAGGGCTCCTCATATGCTATATGTCTTTAAATAGTAAAATAGCATACATAATCTTGTTTTAAAATGTCAGTTTTTACTTTGTTATAATGAGTGAAAGTTGTTTTAAAAAAATGAAAAGTCCTGAATTGTGTAAAAGGTACCCAGTAAATGGTTAGCACTGCTGCTAAAAAAAATAAATAAAATAGCAAAAAAAAAAAGAGGTGACTCTTACCTTATATTTTTCCTTTAGTAATATTTCTTAGAAATCAGCTGAAGATTGTCCTATTTCTGCCAATCACAATTGCAAAGGAAAACCAGAGTTTGTTAAGACAAATTAAGTTTGCTTAATAAAATTTGTATTTGTATTCAGATTCCTACAATTTGTGCAGAAAAAGTTTTTTCATCAATATGAAGAAATGACAAACTCGGGATCTACTTAGATTCTATAATCTAATACTCCACAGAGTATCTTGGAACAATAGAATTATGACTTTGTTTTTCTTCATTACTAGACCATGATACTGCCTTTATACACCCATTATCTCTTTCATAGAATGGTTCACCCCAATTTTCTCATGCAAAGTAATGATTTAGAGATATTTGAGAAGAGTAAAACATGTATTTCAAGCCTAATTCTAATAGTTAATGACACTGTTGTTGTTGTTGTTATGTGTTGTCGAGTCGGACCCGACTCATAGCAACCCCTCCTTGGGTTTCTGAGGCAGTATCCCTACAGAAGTAGATTGTCCAACCTTCCTTCTGAGGAGTGACTGGTGGGTTTGAACTGCCAGTCTTCTGATTAGCAGTCAAGTGCCTTAGGCACTGTGCTACCAGAGCTCCTATCAATATTTAAAGTATCATTAACAAAAGCTCTTCTCTACATAAATTCTCCATTTTACTCCATCAATTAGACATACTTATATATAATGACCCTGTCTTTTAAAATTAGCCTAAAAACCAGATCTTAACTACAATTTTTTAATATGCAAAATGAATGCTATCTTATCTATGTCACTAAATTTTAATTAAATTAAAAATCTTCACTATTTTCATATCAAAGCAAGTTACATTATGAATTCCATATCAACAGGAGCTCTGGTAGCATAGTGCCTAAGGCACTTGACTGCTAACCAGAAGGCTGGCAGTTCAAATCCACCAGCCACTCCTCGAAAGGAAGGACAGGCAATCCTACTTCCGTAGTGATACTGCCTCGGAAATCCAAGGAGGGGTCGCTATGAGTTGGGGCCGACTCGACGGCAAATAACAACAACAACATAACATTAACAAAATTGGTCTTCAAGAGACAATACATATGAGTTTGACTAGTCACAGGGTAAATGAATTTGATTTTGGCTTCTTGATTCTCATCCTGGCTAATGTAAAGAGGTTTAAATATTTTCTATGTCTGAAAGAAACTCTTTTTTCTTATTGGTCATACATAAAAATGTCCTGAAGGAATCACCTATTTTTTTATCATTGTGATTTCATGGGATGACGTACTTCTTTTTTTTCTTTCAACCAGACTATAACAAAATACTGCCATAAACTGAAAATTGAATGATTGCCTTATTTGACTATGAAATCCAACAATGCAAGTTTGCTTTTCTAAGACCATAATAAGTAAGCAGAACTCTAAAAGAGAAAATCAAGTGTGTAGAAATAAAACATGCAAATGTTAACTACATGTTTATGTACCATAACTACGTAGATAGTGTATGAGAGTCCAAAATCTGAAGCACTTTTCATAGGTAAGTAGAGCAACCTGAAAGTGAAATGTTAACTACATCTAAAGTTTTGACAGGAGTGTGGAATCCATCCATGTTTAATTTCAAAATTGTCTTCTAACAGCACTCTTTTTTCTATCCCATGTTTAACTATATACCCTAAAATAAATGTTTCTCCCTTTGATACAGGATGTAGGCAGCCTGTTCCCAGAGGGTCTTTCCTCTGTAGTCAAACAGATGCAATATGTGATAGTCTATGTTCAAAGGGTCTTGATGCACAGCATTATTAAAAATTCTCCTTTACAATAGAGCCTAGGAAAACACATGCTTGAGAAAGCAGCGTCAGTAACACATTCCCAGAAAAGCACATCCTGTGACTATGTAGTGACCATTCTGTAATAATCTGAAAAGAACTGAAAGCTTCAATTATGTACCTTAACCAATCATGGATTCCCACATACATGTCCCCCAATCCCTGCTAAGCTCCCCACTGATTGCCTTTCAGCCAACAATAGTATTGTGAGTTTATTTCCTCTTCAACAGTGTAGGAATATTTGCTTCTTTATTGCTTTCTGGAGTGGCCATTTTTACTCTGTGAATTAGAATATTTTCCCTGTTTCAAACAATCTCTGGACTTCATATAAATCTCTTTGATTTTACTTTTACAGAGTGTACGTTTCTATTCTAGAATAATAATTAGATAAGACATTGATAGATAGGTCAGTAGCTATACACACACACACACATACACACACAGAGACAAATAGACAGATTTTGGAAAATAAGAGTTGATCATCTTAATGGACAAAAACTTATTTGGAGAAGTGGATTCTGACAGTCAATAAGTGGAAATGCATGGAAATCATTATAAAGCTTTTCAAAAGTAATAGTGGTAGGAGATAATGTAAAATGCTATTTTAAAGTATTATGAATCCATGAGATGCTGATTGGAATTGTGAGATTTTATAAATATAGGTACCAAAATATATTGAAGGTGATTTTTTAGAGGCTTTCCAATAAAATATTTACACTCGTATTTCAAGTTTATACTATACTATTGCAAAAAACCCTAATTTTCCTTTAACAAGAAGGAAAATTAAATTTGTGTAATATTCAGAGAAAATACATCGATTAAGGTTTTTTAAGTCACATGTCAATTACTGTCACATTATTTTTTTATGGATTAGAGAAAGCATAAATAGTCATTTATTTTCACATGTAGATAAGCATCTTGAATATTGTTGTTGTTGTTATGTACCATAGAGTCGGACACAACTCATAGCGACCCCTCCTTGGGTTTCTGAGGCAGTATTACTACAGAAGTAGATTGCCCCATCTTCCTTCCAAGGAGTGGCCAGTGGGT